ATAGTTTGAGCTGTTTTTTCAAAAAAAACATGCACTAATTTAAAAAAAAACGAAAGTAACTACACTATGTTAGACCATTGGAAAATGTGGAGAATGATAGGAAGCAAGAGGCATACCCTGAAATTAAAAAAATAGGACAGATTGCTTTAAAATTTGCTAAAAAACAACCTTACTTTTGTACTTGTGTACGGTTTGCTTTACCTTATTCATGTATTTTTGATATGAATGAAGGGGGAATACTGTGAATTACATGCTACTTTTCTGCCCAATTTCTCAAGATGCTCAACATTTCTTCATAAGCCATATGATCTTTTCAGTCATCTGCATGTATGTCTTCATCCCCTGGCCACTCCCCTACTGTTACAGGTACTGGCACAAACAGTACTGAACTCAGCTTTTACAGGCAATGCTGAAATCAGTCTGTTTTCACATGTCCAGTATTACGAGACACTTTTTTCCCCACTAATTGCTTTCTAGCATTGCACTCCTACTGCTCTTCTGCTCAGGACTTCCAAGCAAAAAGATATCTGTACAAAATGAAAGTAAAATCATCTGCCAGTAAGCAACATCCCTTGCCAGGGCATATACAGTACTACCTTCCACTACAGACCAAGCATGATTTGAGGCACACCACAAACTTGGTTAACAAACTCGGTGTGGATTTGGCTAAGGCACAGAGGTGGATGTAGGCATCCCCAGAACAGGGCCCTTCAGCAGCACTGCTCTGCCACAAACCAGCTTCCTAAGGGACCTGCCAGCCCTGATGGCTCTTTAAAAGCAAAGGCAAAACGTGAAACCATAATACAGTGCAAGATACACCAGGCAAGAGCATGCAAACATTTAAATACAAGTGAGACTGAAACATATTTAAGAGTTCACACATTGAAAATGCAGGACAACTGCATCACAACTTCCATCAGCACTACTTGTCCCATTCATCTACACTCAAAACAAAGGAGCAAAGGCTGCTTTCAAAATGCTATATTCGACATTAGTCATGTTGTAAAAGGGAATTCCAAATTAGATTGAGTTACAGTGCAATAAATAACAAAATAATTAAATTATCAGAAATGTTAAGTCTTGACTGTAGGAGATCACAGGAGATTTTTGGCTCGGAGCCTTTCAAAGTCTGAACAGAGCCCAAGAGAGCCTCAGAAGGCACCTTGCGTTTTATAAATACATCAAGTGTTTGTTTACACAGTGCTGAACAATACACACGCTTCTGCTAATTAAAAAAATAATAGAACACATGCTAACAACTTCATTTCCCTATACTTTCTTTACCTGGAGGAAGCAGCACTAAAAGCTCCACTTCTCACTACATTTCCTAAGTAGCAAGTTACCATCCAGACTTGTCCATAACACTGAAACATATTCTGTCTCCTACTTCTTTTTCCTGAAACATTTTTATTACCAAATGAATAACAACTCTGACTTATCTGTTTTTGCAACACACTCATGTATGTTCACAGAAAGCAGCAGGCTGCATTAAAACACTACCAAAACAAGCCATTTCACTATATATGACTCTGCCCCTGGGGAAAGGAATGAGAGCAGATAAGATGTGACAGATGTGTAGTCACGTCACTTAATACACGACTGGAAGGTGCTCAAATCATTATGGTGACAGGCGCAGCATAAGAACTTGCAAAGAATGGACTAAGCATTTCTCTGGTTTGCTGCATACTTGATTCTCGTGATCAGAAAAAGATACTGAGGTCCATGAAGATGCTTCTCTGAAAGAAGACAGCCTGCAACTGTCAATATGCAATATAGTTCTAATAAAAAAAAAATAGAAGAGCATAGCACGTATAGCTTTGTCTGCAAAACCCCTCCATCACAAATATAAAATACATTTGAGGTTGAATTCAAAGTCTGTCCTCTAAAACTTTCCTGTACTGGAATTCTGAAGAGGTTTGATTCAACGTTAAACTTAGCCAAAACAAGAAGTTTAAATAAACCTAGCAACTGTAGATATCTAAACGGATCTCAATTTTTCAGGATCTTAATAAAAGCAATTTTACTGATAACTCTTCTATTTTGGTTTGGAAGACCCACATAATAAGGATAAAATTGGAAATCATATGGTTACTGAATAAAGTAATAGGACTGGTCACTTGTTTGAAGATAAGTGCAATCCCAAAGGCTTTAAAAGATTAGGACTTCCAGGCAATTTTCCAGGAAAAGAATAAAAAAAAACGCAGAAGGGTTTTGTTTTCTCACTCCTTTCAGGTTAAATACTCCTAGTTGTCACAAATACCAAGAACACTGATAGGTAGGTCAAGAACATTTCTAAAGAGTAGTGTAGTATTTAACTGCCAGTGTCCCTTCAGGAGGGACCCCAACCCCGCTGTTGTTTCAGATTGTTAGGCCCAAATCCTACAAACTGACCTGTGCAGGTAGATCCCTGTGCTTGCGGGAATCCGCATTAAGTCAGAGAGGGAAAACTACCTCACAGGATCAGATTCTTAATTTGAAGCTGGACCACTGTAACTCATTATGACACTAATCATAAATGTCTCAACAACACTCTCTGCGCCCCATCTGTTTTATCTTATTAGAGTTTTATATCTCAATCCATGGGACTAGCTACAGGAGTCAAATTAAGCACCTGCATATGACCGTGTTCCTGCAAGACCAGGTCCTCAAAGCCAGTGTTTTTCCTATGCTTGAGATCTAGTGCGTTCCCTGAAAAGGGCTACACAGAGTAAAATAATTTTAACTTTGATTTAGTCATTTATACAAATATAAATCTAAATGTTTGCCAGTCATTTATCCATTTAACCAGAGGACAAACTCTATTCACATACTTAAAAATACTGGCTGCTGCATTTCAGAGAAATGATCAAAAACAACCTGCAGAAGTATAAAAATGAGTTTTCAAATTATTTTAAAGGAGCATTTGCTTCTTTATCATACTTTCACTAAACAACCAGAAAATTTTGTAAAAGAATATTCACAGAATATTGACTACAAAGTCAAAAATCCACCAGCACTGGCAGACCCTGGGCTGAAAAATGGCAAAGAGAGGAAGAGTTGTGCTCCAGAGTCACTCCAGGCCTACCCCACTCTTCTGCTCTCCAAATGGGTCAGTGGGAGCCCCAGCACGGCGCAGTTGGATGGACCTTTCTTTTGGCTGAGCATGGCCATTTGGGCATTCTCACACACATCCCACAGAAAGAAGCCCCAAATGTTTCAATGACAACTCCAGCAGAACAAATCCTACAGTCTAAGTCGCATTTAATTTAAAAGACACATACATATAAGGGGCATGTGGTTGTTGTGTTTTGCCTGTTTGTTTTCCCTCACCTTCTCTATTCCTATGAAGTAGCATGGCTAAGAACCAAACCAAAGTGCAATTACACATCCAATACATATTTCTGTACACTGATTACCAAATTTGTCAAACAGGTAGAGGACAGGACATGGGAAATCTACATGCCTGCAAAGCAAAAATGGGACAGGTCTCATATTAAACTTATTAATCCTGTTATTTTACAGAATTATCAGCACCAACTGTGCTTAGTTTCATTACTTGTAACAGGGAACAAAAAAAGGAATTGAAGTGAAAAAAAATCTAAAAAACAAGTAGAACATTTAAGAATTCAGTAGAAGGAAACGCATCTAGAAGGTGATTCCCTCTTCCACACAAGCCAGATGCAATTCTCAGAGGTGTTGTCAGCCCCTGGATTTGTGCTGAAAGTCAGTGACAACTAGGATTTAGGGGAAGCATTCAAGATATTACAGAGATATTGGCATCCTTTTAAGAGCTGTATGCTGGATCATGATTTTCTTTCCCAAATTAGAGGTTAAATTTGCCAGCAGAAATTCATCTGGAGCGGGGATACGCAGGCTGTCCAAGCAGTAGTGTCTTGCCTAAGACCTGATTGGCAGAATCTTTCCTCTTGAGATGTTGCAGCTCATGGGACCTTTCAATTTCCAAACCCAGCAGAAGCCAGGAGCTGGGAGTTACCTACTCACAAATGCTATCTCCTCGGTAATGCTTTGCTGTAGATCATTCAACATCTGCCTGCAGGCTAGATTTGGCACCAGGGCCACAGGTTGCTGGCCCACACATTACAAGGTAAGATCCTAAAAGTCACACAGTTTCACTCTGCTCACAAATCAATCTGCCCTCGCCAAAATTATTGCTCATTTAGCTCAACTGCTGAGCAGTGTGTGCGCCTTGAAAATCCAAGTCATGGTACGGGTTAACATTAGCATTTAAAACTTCCACAAGTATAGCAAACAATTACCACACCCTCAAGTCACAGATAAAATATTTTGTAGAGCTTAAATACATACATTTCTGGCATGAAACATTCTTCATTACTGGCAAAAATTCCCTGCAATTTCTGGCAATAGAATACTTTGAGTTCAGAAGTCAGCTGTAAAGTAAAATTGTTTTGGTTTTGAATTAAAAAGCATTCTTGATCTTACCTTTCAGCAGAGGCAGGGGAGTTAACTCAATAGGCTTGCCCTGAGACCTAAACTGGGAGGAGCTTTGTGACCTCTTCTGTCTGGCTTTTCTGACGGACTTCCGAGAAAATCCGTCTACTTTATCCACTGATGGAGGAGTAGTTGGTGCTGAGGACATATCCCTACTGAAGGAAAACAAATATTACAAACATATTCCAAACAAATGAAACAGGTAAAGATTAATTTAAACTTTCCCAAACCCTCACTCTTTCTTTACCATTCTCCTTCTGACAATTTACCCAGACAGAGTTTTAGGAGAGAGAACCCACCAACGTATAAGCAAGCCTTATGGAATAACCTTAATGGAATACTGTAATTGTTCTTCTCTCTCCCTTGTTTTATCTGCCTCGCACTTGCCAAAAATCCTGCAACAGGAAAAATTCAGACCTAATGATGACATTATTGTGTCACTAGAACTTCATACACCTGTAGACTTAACACAGGATCGAAGCCTTGAACTATATATTGTCTGGGACAAAGTACCTTGAACTCATGCTGTGAGGCACCATGCAAGCTAAATAATGGGTACTTGAAAAGGTACAAATGTCTTTCTTCACAGCAGAGTCATCAAAATGAATAGGATGAAAAAAAACAGAACCAAAAAAAAAAAGAAAAAAAGTTTAGTTGCCACAACTCCATATAAGATTTTGCAGCAACATAATGAAGTACAGCAGAAAGTCCTGTTATGCTGCACAACTGCCCTAGCACTGACAAAGTTTACATACTGCTTGTTTACTCTCCATTTTAAAAATTCTCAGTTTCTGTACTGAGTCTCTCAACACGCAGTTACTCCATGTTCTGGCATTTCTGTAATAATAGCAGCGTGGTAGCCATAATAGTTCTAAGGGCATAAGCCAGACAAGGTTTGCACAGAGAGGCAGGGAGCCAAGAGAAGGTTTCTGCAAGCAAAAGTTTGTTTGTTTCCCAACTCTATCAGCTGGTCTAAGAAATAAGCATTGCTTCTTCCTATAAAGCAGGCCTTGGCAATGCTGCTGTAGCTAATTCCATACTCCTCAGAAATACTGAAAGGAAATATTTAAACAGTGAATTCATCCACCCAGCTACTGTATTCACCAGTCTTGTGCTGGCTGCTAAAAAGGCCTACCACATCTTGGTGCAATACGGGAGCAATACTCAAGGAAAACAAGAAAGGAGGGATTTTGGCCTACATCCTTCAGGCAGCTCTGTGTACAGTTAACTTCACCAGCACGTGCACCTCTGCTGAAATCCACAGAACTATCCGCATCGATAGCACGACAAGCAGCAAGAGCAGTTGTGTTGATTTCAGGAGGGCCACGAGCTCGTGCAAAGTTAAGCATCGGCATAAGCACTTGCAGGATCAGGGTCTTAGAGCGTGTCCTTGGAAAGCATTACTCATCCTCAGTGTCTGTTGACTTCAATTACCAAAGTGACTCGGAGCCTGAAAGAAGTTGATTCCCGAAGATCGAGAGCACTTATGAGTACTTTTTTTTATTATTATTAAAATATTTGTTTACTCGTGTGCTTCAGAAATTATTAAATCCATTGAAACAGACGTTATTTGGATTTGTCTTTTAGAATAAAACCTTTGGAAAGCAGGATTTACTGCAAGCGTAAACAAGTTCAGAAAGACAAGAACTGTTTAATGCAAAATTATAGATATGTGCACTAAATCTATCAAAAATGGAAGTGCAAGCTCCAGAGCTTCTTGAAGGAAGCATGTGCAGCACCCAGATGCTAAAGTGTGCAGCTGGCATTACAGTAACGAAAAAGCCTTACACCATCTTTTTTATTTTTCCTGAGATATTCTCCACTACCAACTCATACTTGCTAAATATAATATGCTATCGGCAACACGATCCCGCACCTTAAACCAGCCTTGTTTATCATCTGGGGGAAAAAAAAATGCCACCATCACCAGGGCATTCAGGCCCCAGCCAAGATTAATAAATAAAAAAAAGTCAGATAAACTGAAATAGAATAGCCTGTACTTCAGCAGCCCACTTCTAAGATTTCACCAGTCCGCCAAAAAAACAGGAGCCCGAAGTTACCTGTTACATAAAGCAAACGCTGGGGATACCAGAAAAAAAAAAACATATACGTGGAGCCTGAATTTGCTGGCCTTGTTTCATCTCGTCAAAAAGATTCATCTCCTCATCACGTGCATCACTGAAGTGTAACCGTTTCTGCAGGGATGCCTGCGCCCTCTCGCAGAACGAAATTACCAAAATAATAATAATAATAACAACAACAATAATGGACAGCGACCCGAGCAGATCACTCAAACTGCAGGCTCATTGTGTCAGCCAGCAGCTTCCCTGACACTTCCCTGCTGTAAATTTAGTAACAGTTTCCCTAACCTGCTTGATAAATTATTAAAACCTCATTCGAATTCACCCAGGCTACATCCCGGCTAGCAGCCTTACAGTAAACACTGAGCTCTTTTTTTTTTTCCCTCATCCCTCCAAACGAGCCCTCGCTCCCCTCAGCACAGCGCGGCGGCGAGCCACGCTACCTCAGCGAGGGGAGGAAAAATAAGAAATATGAATATATATAAAATGAAGGGAGGTTATTGATTGTGTGGGGCGGAGAGCTGAGGGGCTGGGGTCGCTCCCTTCACCACAGGGGCTCGCTTCGTGTGCTCGCCCCGGAGGGGGGGGGGGGGGGGGTGCGGTGCAAATACCGCCGAGGGGAAGCCGAGGGGGCCCCGGCCGCCTCCTGCCCGCTGCCATCGGCCGTCCCCAACCCCGGGGCACCCGTCCCCGCCGGCGCCGTTACCTTGACCCTCCTGGTTGAGAAGCCGGAGGAGACGGGGCGGGGGCGGGCGGCGGCCTGAGCCGGGCTTCGGCGGAGCGCGGCCGCTGCTTGGCGGCGGCGGCCCGAGGGCGGGAGGCGCCGGGCTCGCTCCCTGCGGCGGCGGCGGCGGCGCCGGATCCTGAACGCCCGGAGCTCGTAGTACGGCCGCAGCCGGTACGCCGGGAGCCCGGAGTAGGCCCGCAGCCTCGTAGTAGGCCCGCAGCCTGTAGGCCTCGGCGTTGGCGGCGGCCTTCCCCCGGCGCAGGGCGGCGTTTGGCGGCTTCGGGCGGCTTCAGGCGCGGGCTCCGCTCAGTCCCATGCACTCGGCGCGGCCCCTGCCTGCGATGGCCGCTGCCTCGCTCTCACATTCCCGGCGGAGCCCTGGCGGAGGGGGCCCTGAGGAGGCGGCTCAGGGGGGAGGAGGAGGAGGAGGAGGAGGTGGAGGAAGAAGAGGAGGAGGAGTGCGGGCCGAGCCGAGGGGGAGCGGCCGGGAGGGGGGCTAGCGACGGAGGCTGAGCGCTGCGAGGGGCGGAACGGGGCTGGAGCGGCGGCGGCTGCCTCGGGTGTAGCGGGGGGGTCCCGGCGGGCGGCGGGGTCGCGCTCCGGCTCGCTGCTATTGTGGCTCTCAGCGGGCTCCGGCCATGGCACTCGCTCGCTCACAGCCTCAGCCTTGCTGCTGCCGCCGCCCCCCGCCCGCCCATTGGAGCCGGCCGCCGGGACGCGCCGCCTCATTGGCGCCCGCCGCCGCCGCCGGGACAGCCGGGAAAGGGGAGAGCGGCCCGACGACGAGGAGGAGGAGGAGGAGAAGAAGGAGAAGGAGAAGGAGGAGAAGAAGGGGGCGGCGACGGGAGAGCGGTGGCGGAGAGCGGCACCGCCATCGCCCTCCTCGTCCCGCGGCGGGCAGGGGGGAGGCGGACGAGCGGCGGCGGCTGAGGTAAAACCCGGTGATTCTGAGGTAAAAGTCGGTGATGCTGAGGTAAAAAATGGTGTTGCTGAGGTAAAAACGGTGATCCTGAGGTAAAAACCCGTAATCCTGAGGTAAACTCCCCGGCCCTCTTCGCGAGGAGCGCCGCGGGGCCGCCTCAGGGAGCGGGGTTTCGGCACCCCCGGGCCCCTTTCCGCCGGGGGGCTGTCATGGGGAAGATCTGTCTGGCTTCGCTTTTTTCCTTTTTTTTTTTTTTTTTTTTTTTTAGCGTGTTTATATACATAGCGGTCAGCACGATGAGCGGTTGTAAGTGGCATCGAGGGTTACCATCGTTTTGTTTAGATTTGTTGGCGTGATGGCTCGATTTCTCTCAGAATACATCTAGTGGCGTTAATATGGCTGCTGTGGTTAAACTACCATCCCCTATTGCACTTGTATTTCTGGCAGTAAAAAAAAAAAAAAAAGGAATCGATTACCTGCAGCCCTTCTGGGTTGATACAGCCAAAACCCCCTGATGTACAATGATTTTTCATGAATTGAGCTTGAGGGCAATTTGCAGGCTGGTTGTTCTGGTGGGTCAGTCATGTCCCTGAGAACTACAAAATCCTGCAAAGGGTACCCAGTATTTGTCCCACTCTGTTGACTCCTCTGCTACATGAGCACCACCACGGGTTTAATGGAGGAGCTGGAACTGTGACAGAGGTAACTGAGATCGATTTTAAGCTCTCATGAACCTGCTTTCAAAATTACTAATTTTTAGTCAGGTAAGTTCCCTGGTCCAACTCACATTGCGGCCCTAAGGGGAAGAAGGAATGCACTAAATAAAAGCTCACTGCTATAGAAGGGTAACTGTGATAGACATGAACGGTTTTTCCTCACATCTCTCAATGTGCCTCTTGCATATCCGAAGAAGCATGTTTCCCCTAAATTTTACTACATATAGACTGAAGAATTCTACTTCTTTTCAGTCCTTCTTTGTGGGTCTCATTTTTAATCCTCTGAATACGTTTATTTCTTTTCCCTGTCTTCTCTGAAAAACATCCACATCTTATTTTGACCTGCAGCACCAAGACTGGATACAGCACTACAGCCAAGGCCTCATAAACACCAGCATCTGCTCTGTCATGCCCATCACAGACAATGTTCCTGTTTACATATGCCAATACAAATACTTTTCAGACAGTGTGATTTATTCACAATATTGCTGAGCTGTTTTACCCCAGCATCCATTTCTGCTGACCTACCAAGCCAGTTATTTCTACTTCAAGTAGACAGTAATGCCACTTGAGAATTGATTTATTGCAACAGTCCTAATACTTTCCCTTTGTTTTTATTACTGGACAGATGGACAATCAAGCAGTCAAGACATCCTTTAAAATAAAATGCTGTGTGCTTTTAAGTCAGAAAACTGTAAACATGTCATCTTTGTAAATCAATTGCATTCCTCAGTAGTGTAGTTGGAAGACCAAAATTCAGCAGAGATTGAGCTGTACCATGGTTACAGAATGTGTAACTGAATTTAAAGGAGATATTTGTATATAATTAAATTCACTTAAACCAACTTCACAAAAATAACCTAAATGCAAGCAGTGGCTTGTAACAAAGAATGTAGGTCAGTTGGGTTTTTATACCAACATCAGGTAAAATTTTGCAAAAACATTAACTTCCTTTTGCTCTGATCAGTGAGGAACCAAACCTGCAGATGCACATATTTGGCTTTGTTACGTGTACTTAATTCCATTAGTTTTGTTTGTCAGCCTCACACAGTAATACTGAGATTTATTCACTGGCCTATGCATTTCTTTTGGTCTGGACTGAACAGTGCACGGGGAGCAGCTCATGAAGTTATTGATGGCAAATTCTAAAAGGGAAGTTGTAGCGCAGCCTGATGGCTAGACAGGCTTTTTAGGTGAAGTTGAGCATGGCATGTGAAATGGTTGTTCTTGGATTTCATTTCACAATGAGAAGACCAATCGTTGCGAAATGCTAAAAATCTAAAACTGAAGCACGTGGCACGGGTATTTATTAAGGTGCCTGTCACAGAAGGGATAAAACTCAAGACTGCTTGAAGAGCTCCCAGTGCGAGTTCGCTGCCCTGCACGCAAGACTTTATACTTGTCGTTCTGTCGTTGAGGAATAGCTAAGGAATTAGTTCTTCAGTACAGCTGAACAGGGTGGTAAATAATGCATTCAGATAGTTTGTCTTCTCTGAGAACTGCTTCATGTGCTATGGCTTTGTCCATTCTGACCGTGTAAAACATTTTTATGATGCTTTATACTTGGTGATATTTCTATGGTAACAATTCAAGAAAAATATGGGGTTTATCAGTGAATAAAGAAAAATCTTACCTCTTTTTTATCACTTGGCTAGCAGAGTTTATAGAGTTGCCTTCCCTTTTTTTTCCAGGTTGCCTTCTTTTTTCTGTTTCAGTCTGTAAAATCTCCATCTGTAAGGAGATTTAAGATCACAACATAAGATACAAATGTAAAACTCCTAATATTTAAAAGGGGCACGGTTACTTGTCTTTCTCCTATTCCCTGTTTGGCCTATATTTTGTAAAGTTTAGTATTTTAAAAATGATTACACAGGTCCCAGTGTAACAGAGAAGAATGTGGTGAAGGAGAAGAAAAAAGAAAAAGTACTACAGATATTTTACACATCTGCATATTTTATGTGTCTGTATAAATATATAAAATACTAATTTGCAAGAATAAAAATGAACTGTCACCAGATAAAGTTCACAACCGATGGCTCACATACGGTGGAGCTATCTACAAATAGGCATGCATGCAATACCTGCAACCCCTCCTGAAGAGCTACAAACAATAAGGTTTTTTGATCACTCTTTCTCCACTGCTGTCAAAGGCACAAGATGAGCCTACCTTTTAAAAGTTCCACTGCCTTACTGGTCTACAAAAGGGTTTTTAAAAATAGCTTAGAGAGGAATTTTCAGGGCCAGCTCCTCACCAGCTACGCACGGTTCTTTTTAGCACCCTAGCAGTCAGAACAGCAGTCGAGAGTCCTCCAGAACAGAGTTTTTGTACCAGTGACTCAGATTTGTTCTGCTTCACGTTATTTTTTTGTGACGGAAGTTCCACTATAGACCATCTGTTATGGCCACCCAGGCAGGAATACGGAGCCCGCATCCACATTGGCGTTCTGTCTGCTCTTTACATAGAAACTTATCAAACAGGATTGCTAAATAGGTAACGCTGTGGAAGTCTTGCTCTGCTGAGTGATAAACATAAATGGATTTAGCTGGAGCTTGTAAATGTTTCACGTGGCACATCCAACATGTATTTGTCTACAGAAGGGGTCATATAATGCTCCATAAAGGATCTCCTATATGTCAAAAGGAGCATTATCGAGGTACCATGGGATTAGTTCAGATATTCGCTGTTCCAATACTGCTAAGCAAGAAAAGACATGATCTCCCCAGAGAACTAATTATTCAGACCAGCAGGAAAAAGACCAGAAAGAGAAAGTATTATGGAGGAAGCAGCAGTGCTGTTTGAAGAGGCAAATCAGCATGAACACAAGGCTTTTCTGATGCATCTTTTAACAAAAATGAACACAGTGGAATACCGCATCAAAGTGACTGTCCTGCTCCATCAGTTTGATTGAAACAGCACAATCTGAGAGTTTTTGTTTGCTCTTGAATCAAATCGGTCTGTAATGAAAAAGAAAAAAGAAATCTATTTTGGCCGTTTACACCACAATTGACTTCTGATTTTTATGTTTCACGTTTTGGAGAGGAAAGGTACGGCCAGCTTTTGGCCAGCTCATGTAACTGCTGGGCCAAATTTCTGGCATACGAAGCCTGTGTGATTACATGGATGTTTTGCCTCCCGCTCCTCCACGTCTCAGCTCTGCGATAACACTGTCAGTGCCCTCAGGAGCCGAATTCCTGATAAACTTGCGGGGTGAGGATTTTAGGGTCATAGACACAACTACCCGAATGGGAACTAACTCCTCTCTGTTTATAGACACTGCGTCACTAGAAGCCTGTTTCTGTAGACAGCCGGGTAAGATAAGTAGGATCGTGCTCACCTCTGCAGCTGGCTAGCTGCCTCCGAGCACAACAAGCGAGCTGCTTTTGCTTATTCCCCAATTACCTTTTTTGTTCTTTTTTATTATTAGTATTAAATCCGTCCCCTCCCCCAGCTTCTTTACTTGCCTTCTAGTCCCAGGTGCTCCTTTCAGCGTAGTTTTCTGGGTTTTTAGTTAACTTCCCTTCTGTGCCTGTTTATCTCTGCCTGCTTCGGGCTTGGCGGTGCCGTCCTCAATCCCTCTCCAACAGTCGCTGCCCAACGGCCTCCGGGGGTTCCAGTGCTCCGCAGCCCTCCCCAGGGGCAGCCACACGCGGCGCTGCCTCTGGGGGCCGAAAGTACACATGGAAACAGAGTGCCAACTCACATTATGTTGTCCCCTGCACCACCATGTCTGAATCCCAGCTTGAAGAAGTTCTCCTGTTTCTTCTTCCGTTTCTTTGCTTTTTGCTCAAGTTTTCTCGTTTCAGTTATCTCCCAGTACAAAGCTGGCCTCTTCTGATGAGCTGCCGGCCTCTCCAGATGAGCACCTCTCCTTTGGCCCAGCTTCCAGCATCATCACACTCCAGAATGAATGAAATGGGTACGATACCAGTGGGTGGTCCAGGTGTCCAGCAGTGCTTCGCATGTATGAACAGCTCTCAGAGTGCTTCCTGCAGCTCCTGTGAGGTACCTGTTGGTTTCCCTCCCACGCTTAGTGCGTATCTATGGTTCTAGCAGCAGCTGATACTAGAGATTCACCCAAAGTACAGAGGCACTAAGGCCTGAGTAGGCTAAGACAGAATAATTTTATTTCGAAAGAAAACAAGCGAGTGTTCTGAAATCTCCTCTCACAGAGGCCCAAACAGCATCACCTGTTGGCTTGGCTCTGGCCAGCATTGGGTCCCTTTTGGAGCTGGCTGAAACTGGCCCTTACCTTACACGGGGCAGCTGCTGGATTCTTCTCACAGAGACCACCC